ATCTTTCTAGACTGAACTTATAAGGACATAACATGATAAAATAAACATGAACTGCACGGGAAATGCCGTATAAAATTGAACATCACTCGGTCATGACCTACTAGGCCAAAACTGACCCTTTTATGACATTTTCTTGTATTTCTCGACATGAACTCACTAAACTGATTTGAACATAACATTACTAACATAAAAGGAGGCTGAAGATGAGGTTACCTCTTTAAGTGTTCGGAGAATTTCCCAAGAACGGGCATAATCCTCCTTCCCGTGCGTGCGTGCGTTCGTTGCTTACTTAATGCGTGTGATTAGGGTTAATTTGAACTTAGTGCTTGCTGATCTTTGTAGCTTAAGTAATAAGCTACAAATGTACCCCAAATGCTGATATATATGCATGGTAAAACTTGAGGAATTGCTAGGCCGAATGGCGTGAAGCCACTTGCCGTACGGTTAGAGCTTAAGGGTGGCATTGGTATGCTTACTCGCCCTCACTTTTGCTTAGTCACGGCCCTAAGGCACCATGAGCTTCCATGTGTCATGAATAGATGAGGTTGTACGTGAAAATTTGGATGATTTTAACCTACGACCTTTAGACTCGGCCTAGGCGCGCTAAGTGCGTGCTAAGGGCGTGGTAAACGTGATCGGCGTGCGCTAAGCACCATTACGTTAATGCTTTGCTAATGACTTGCTCATGACGTGCGGCCTAGGCGCGCTAAGTGCGTGCTAAGGGCGTGGTAAACGTGATCGGCGTGCGCTAAGCACCATTACGTTAATGCTTTGCTAATGACTTGCTCATGACGTGCGAAAGTTTACCTGATGCTAAGCTAAACATGATTACCTTAAACATGATTATCCTTAACTAATCGTCATTAATGTTAATTAATCATCATTAACATTAAGCTAATCATGATTATCTTTAAGCTAATCTTGATTATCTTTAAGCTAATCTTGATTAGCTGGCTTAAACATTGATTATGTTAATTAAGCAAGGCCTAATGACCATTACCTAATTAATGATGGACGGTGTACCAATGTAAACGCGTCGCTGTATAGGAATAACGGCGTTCATATGTGGTAACCTTAACCGAACGTACTCGTTTTCGGTTACAACTTGACCTTGGAACCTTATCTTGACTTAGACGATTAATTCGAACATTAATATTTCGAATAGTTCGTCAACTTGGCTTATTCATTCCGGACTCATTAACTAATTAAATGAATTGGAATTAAATCTGAAAACTCGTCCAGTTACTAAAATAACCAAAACGAATACTTTATCGACTAATAGTCGAACTTTAACTGAAACTGGA